TACTTTATCCCAGTTGAACTTCTAGAAGCACTTAATAATGAAGTAGACTGAACATTAGTTGTGGTAGCTGCTTCAATACACACCGTGGCATAACAACCAACATCAAGAGTTTCCTTGTCTAAATTCATCATAGTATTATTTTCTACATCCAATAAATCATAAGGAGAAACAAAAAAAATAATTTTCATTGGATGTCCTATAAAAATAATTATTATAAATTTGAATTAATTAAGAAATCATATTTTAATTGCGTATTAATACATATTATTTGATTTAAGTACCTCCTCTTCTAGGTTTAACTACTCCTAATGGAGTCTTATGTACCATTGATATCAAATCTTTATGATAAGTGTAATGAACTTGGGCAAAAGTTTCTAAATCAGCTTCTAGAGTTTGAAGAGCATTAAAAGCCCGACACTTGACCATTTTATCTGCATTCAATTGATAAATAGATGCTAATCCTTCAAGTTGAGATGTAAAATCAGCAAAGTCACAGTTGGCAAGACTTTTTATCAGATCAGCGCAACTCTATAACACATAAATATTTATCAAAACATTAAAAGCAATATAATTAGGTAAATAAATATTGATACCTATCAATATTTAAGGTCACACAACACAATTTGTTTCTCTTAAATAATTATTGTAGACAAACTTAATAATACGATCAAGATAAAGTTTGAAAAAAAAATTATTATTTTAGAAGATAGGTATTGAAAAACTTAAAACAAGTGCAAGATATCCTTAATCCAGAAACCATACAATTGTCTATCTTATATAATATTAAATACTAAATAGTTTCTTAGCCAGATTACTTAGCCTGTTTTTACGTGCAAAAGTCTCACAATTCGTGAGATTATTTACCTATTGGAAATGTATGTTATCGTTTTTTCAATTGTTAATTTGATATGTATTTTTGTGCTAATGATGATAGTGGAACCAAAGTTTTGCATCTTTTTTTGTTATTAAAATAGCATAAGCATTGTTTGCAAAATTAATCGTAAAATGCTTTTTAGTATTGAAAAATTGTCTTCGAACAAAAAAAAAATTATATTATAATTTTCAAATCAGTAAAATATTATGGTCTAATATGGAATCTTTAAAATATATAAGATAGATGATTGTGAGGTGTCTACCTCAATAATGTAATGAGGTTTTTTTTAATTCCCCATAAATCAATGAATAATGTGAATAAAAACATTAAAAGTTGATTCAAAATTTCTGAGCAATAGTAAAAAATAATAATTAGTAACCGCATTATCAAATGGTATGAGTAAGAGTGTGAGTTGAAATTCAATAGGAAAACAAACTATATCATTATTAAAAAATTCATATTTGCAGCAAATATTTAAAAATGAAATAAGTACATAGGTAATTAACCTAATTTAATATGCCCATATATATATATTTATTTATTTATCAATTTTTTTGTTTTCTTTTACATCAAACTGTTAAGGAATCAGAGTTTTGATTGTTTGTATTATTACGTTTTAGTTTAATTCTTCTAATTTAATATTGCACGAAACAAAAAACATAATAAATAAATAAATATTTAATATGAAGATGTTGTAGTAATAGTATAATTAATTGTACTTGTGGTTCCGATTTTCCATCATGATGAATCTTTACATCTTTTACTCCTCCATTGTCTTCTAATATAATTTCCAAATAAAACATATCTGAAGAAACAAATATATCTTTACCAGAAGGTCCAACAGTAAACTTTAAACTAAAAAAAAAAAATATATATATATTATTAAATTCATAAATATATAACGACTAACTGAATACTAACAAGGTAATATTATAGCATAAACGTGTCAATAATAAACAGTTAAAGTTACCCTAAATGCCTGCTGACACTGTCTAAACGTTCAATCATTGTCTGCAAAGTAGTCACCTTGATATTTTGTTGTAGTAGATCCAGAGATTTTTGAACAAGACATTTTTCATTTGGATCTACATTAATACGTTTTTCCTAAGAAAAAAAAACATAGATACATTAGTAAGATTTCTAAATTTTTCAGTGTTCATAATAGGTATCTACATCATAAGATACATTAAGTAAGGTATACAATATACTTATAAATTTAATTTTAATTATTGATAAATTAAATTCCAATGTTTTAATATTAAACATAATTTATTCCCATAACCTCAATCACCATAATGTAACCATCAAACCATCAACAGGGTACAGTTGACTCTCAATAATGCGAACCTTCGATAATTAGAAACTTTCGGTAATTCAAAGTAATTGCTTGTTCCCTTAAAAATCTCACAGTAATTTGAATAATAATAATACATTTAAGTACACTCGTTAATTTGTAGTAAAAATTTAGGGGAAACTAGCCTTCAACACGCGACTATTCGAAGTTCAGCACTCGGCCATTCGAAGTATATTCACCAAAATGTATTTCTTATAATCTCATTGTTCAGTGGCGTATATAGGGGGGAGGCCCCCTAGGCCAGAGCCCATAGTGACATTTCAGGTTGAATTAAAGCATTGCATGTATATTTTCACGGTTAAAAGTTTTTCACTATGATTAAGTTAGCCGGTTGATTAAAATCGTTTTTGAGGAATCAACAATTAAATGTTAGATTGTCAGGACTTGCTTCGATAATTTATTGACTTTGATGTTAAATTCATAGTAAGATAACATTAAAATATATAAATGGCACTGTCAATATTTTTTAAAAAAGAATCAAAAAATTTAATTTTACATAATAATTATAAAACTAAATTGCTCAATTTTTATTTGTACTGTATAATATGTCATAATTATAACCACCCAGCTCCCTAATGTATAGTTATGGCTATGTTAGTCTTGCCATGCTTAACTAGTGATAACTGATAAATTGGCCCATAGTGAAAATAATTTGTATATACGCCACTGTCATTGTTAATAATTTACCTTAAAATTATGTATACATTTAGCTTATTGTTTACAATAACTATCGAATTATTATTGTAAGTACAACATTTTTTTGTCATAACTCAGTAAGCAACTTAAATTGGTTTTTTGCTCTATTGATTTTTAGAACCACTCAGCAATGCAAGCTCTCAGTAATTAGATCTTTTTCAGAAATACTACCAACTTCAAATTTTTGAGAGTCAACTGTAATTAGTAATTTTAGTAATATAACTTACTTATTCAATATTCAGATTAAGCTTGTCTGAAGAATTTAAAACTTAATTATCATTTAAGATCCCAACAATTATTTTTTTTTTTTTTTTAAACAGCTACATATATATTTTATATGGTTATGAATAAAATATTATATTATGTAAATAATCTTACAACGTATAAATATCTGATATCTTATGACAAATTCCCTCTACTGTGAAGTTTAATTACACTATCAATTACCTATGATTTTGGTTTTTAAGAAGGTATGTAACAGATTGTTATTAATTACCTATGTTAAAGTATATATATATTATAATATCAAATTATACTGGCAGTTAGTACCTAGTTATTTGCATAGACTTGAATTAGGGTTGCATAGTTGTAATCACTCTAAAATAATAAGTATAATACTAATACAGTACCTAATACTCAGAGAAATATATAAAATATTTTAATGTACCTATATAGGTAACCTTTAGGTACCATTAACGTTTTTTCCATATAATATTATAATATTATACTAAGGATCATATTATACACACATTGACATGATACATGTGTATATGACATATTTATAAACATACACAGTATTTGAATTATATTCAAGGCTAGTTAAGATTAATCTTAGTTAAAAACGGGGTTAAAAATGTACACAGGTAAGATCTCATCAAATAAGATTTTCTCCAGGCCCCATCCCCCCCCCCATTTCTGTAAAATAGGCCTTGATTCTAACACGAAAATCGTTAAAGTTGTCCATAGGTACAAAATACTGTCAAGTAAACGTTACTGATGCAAAATGCGATCAAACGTCAATTCTTAATAACTATTTGTCAACTCACCAGTAAAGCCAGTTTGATGTTTTTAATAGAGTCCGTCAACGGTTTGTACTGGGACTGGAGCGCTTTGCTCCGCAACTTTTCCATCATCAACTGCATTTGAAGTTTTCTCGATTTATCCTCTGATATCCCATTGTGCAACAGGACTGTGGCCGACATGAACACCAAATGATATGTTATTTAATATCTCAACATTTCCCTACGTTCGTTATCGTCGACTGGAGTCTAGACCATCTAGGTGGCCGAAAAAATACTAGCTAGGAATCTAGAATACGATCTTACCTGCTGACTGTGTGGCGGCGTTCATGATCGTTGAAACTAGTTTCGAAGAGAAAGGGAACAATCGGCAAAGTACTTAGAAAGAGCGAAACTGGGACACGCTTTTCAGCAGCTGATAGTTGTACAATAATAATAATAATAACGTATTCGTAGAAAGTAATAAAATTGTAAATGAGTAATGAATGTAGTTGCAGTTGTATATACTTCACACGTCTTGTATATTCACTAAATTAGTCTTGTTCACCTCTTGTACTACTATGACTTATATATTATAAGGTTTTTTTTTTATTGTTGTTTTTTTTTTCAATAATATGATCTTTTTCATAACCTCAAACTTAATGTTTTTCTTAAGGATGTAATTCTCCGGTACACCGAACCGAGCGCCCTCGTACGTAAACACTATTATCGAAAAAGGTTTATCAGTTTTGTGTTATCAATAATAACATAATGAATAACGGTATGGGGTAGAATTGTAGAAAGTCGATCGGGAAGGAGTGTCACTATAGTGTTCGACGTTAGTACTTAGGGTACTTATCTATGACCCCAGCAACCTTATTTATTACTTATTTCTAGTTGCTATTATAATTTACAAAAATCTCCAAACAACCTAAACCGAGAACCTACCTTGACAATTTTAAGTGGCGGCATTAATTAACAATAACACATCGACGCGTCTTTTTATCGGAAAACAAATTACGAATCGACGTTGGTGTTATTATAAAATATTTTGTTTACTAATATTATACGGGTTACCATGGCGACCCATAATAATATGAACAACGATGATCTGCGAAGTCTATTAGGTAAAGTAGTATTGCATTTTCTGTATGACTTAGTTCCTAATCATAATATTGTAAAATCAAATAGACATTTTTAATGGACACTTCATATACAAATCTTTTATACTACCTATTTATTTAAAATATAACAAATTAAAAGCTTACAATTTGTTGTTAATTGTAAAATTTAAAACTGAAACTTATTATTTTATTAAAGTAATTTTGTTTAATCAATAATACAATGTGTTTTTCGAGTAAGTAACTTGTTGTACTGTGCTTTTATGTGTATAATATATTATTTCATTACTTTAATATATTTATAGTTGCAGTGTTCGTTCGTAATTCATTTACCATAGTTTTTATTGTTTTAAGTAAAGTCGCATATACCTAGTATAGTTATAGGTACCTAGGTATAAATACTTCATACTAAATTTTAATTATTTTGTCTTTCAGTTCTCAACACTAGAGTTTAAAAAAACTGTTGAAAATAATACCCCTTCACAATTCAAAAATATATTTCCTATTTATTCGTTAATTTATAATAAGTTGTAATAATATAAATGATAAGACCTATAAAGACCACATAAAACCCCGCAAATTTTAGAAATTCTTTAAAGATCTCTAATGATGCCTATGATACCAGATATACTCGACACACCACCCACACACGTATACCTACTGTAGTTACTACGATCTATATAAATATGTTTTAAATATGTAAATAAATATAAATATGTTTTAGGTACCGCTTCTCATATTACACACCTCCATAATGACACAATATGTTAATGATACTATATAAAATTATTTGATAAGGACGGGGATTATGTATTTCCAAAAATTATTCTTAAATAATTCAAATATTATCGATGTTATAATAAATATCATATCAATATTTAAGATCCGAAACCGAAACGTTTCCAAAAATTGTGAACATGCCAGGCCGCCAGAGCGTGGATTGAGTGGCTGGCTTCCATCTAAAATTAAAAATATAAATTAAGCATATTGTGCATAACCGCAAAAGTATTATATTTTAGTGTATATTATAATTAATTACAAAACATAAAACCTAGGTGTAACATATTTTTGTTAATTTTTGGTTATTTGTATTTTGTTGTAATCACGGCTTTTGATAGAACATTTTTCCATCTAAAGCCGTGGTTGTAATCGTTAACCGATGTTACTTTTTTGGAACTTGGCACATAGTAAGATATAGAAATATTTAATTGTGGTAGGTAGTTAACAATAATTATGATCACATATAATTTAAACTTAAATTTCTAATAAAAAAAATTATTTAACCTATTTTTAAAATAGGTAGTTAGAATAACAAATGGTTTTATTCGTATTATTAAATTTCCCTGTTTCCGAGATTAATTTACAATATCTTTATGAATTATATTGTCTATTAACATTATATTTTATATTCTAAATTCAGTGTTATTTCGTGCTGTATTATAACATTTTAATATTTTTTACGGAACACACCTCGATTTTCTGTAAACACATATTTTAGGCCTTACAATTTGTCAGTATAATTCATAATACAAACATATACCTAACACATTTCACATGTTAACTATATAAGTTTATGAACAATTATTTAATATCGCCATACCGTGTGCATAATGGTTTATGTCATTATATTTATTATCAGTACGGAAACGATAAAAACGTATGTATTGCATTATTGCAACATCGATAACACGTTTTGTATATTTAGGTACAATTTATATGAAATGTTATTTTTATTTTAAGAGGACTCTATATTATACACCCGCATGTGTTTTCTCCGACTTAAAAATGTACAACATAAAAAAAACTGTTTTGCGGGTAAGAACCATTCAGGCTGTAATCCAAGCTGGCAAGCTAAGCCACCAAATGTTCACACTATAAAGAGAAGAACATTAATTACTGTGACCTATTGTTTTTATTTTTTCAATATCTGAACTATAAAAAAAGTTATTCAAGTTCACTAAACTCTAAAATAATGAATTTTTAAACAATAAGAAATAAGAATATAGGATAAAACTTTTTGTAAACATTTGTTTTAGAGTTACACAAAAAACCAAAATCGATTTTGCTTAAAAATTCCCGTTTTTCCTTAATTTGTATGTGATTTTTCTTGACGCTTTTGAAAACTAATGGGAATTTTGACCTCCTCAATGGACCAACTAGATTCACTTTCCCATCTAACAAGATACAACATTATTTAATGTTGATTGGTATAACTAAAACGTACTATATGACCGCATAACAGTTATATATGGGGGCTCTCCCTAAACAGGCCGTCGGGGCTGCTGCCCCCTAGCCCCCCCCAAGTAGGGCTACGCACAAACATTGTGTCTTCAGTATTTGTATTATGTCGTGGAATTGAATCCATTTTGTCTCCTATATGTATCGGAAAATAGAGTGTTGCTCTTTTGTCGGTCTGGTGTAAGTACAGCAATATAATACTAGAATATTAATTCTGATGATGACTAACTATAAGAAGTCTTTACAGTAAATTGTATTTTACCCACATATCAACCGACAACTGTGATACACGTCATCCTATGTGTTTATGTACAAGTGTAACAATAAATTCAATATGTGAACTGTGAATTATTAAATTCAAGTACCGTACCAATGTCATAGCAGGATGGGGACATGGGGTCAAACTTTTTTGGAATTTGTTTGTTTAAAATTATTGTAGGTATTATAAGCTATATATTATTATCGTTAATACTAATATAATACTTACAACATACTTATGCCGAGTTGCACAAAGTTGTGAACCATTGAATTTAATAAATTGTTTATGCAGCCCAGTATTCATCATACGATTAAAAGGAAAGCGTTACAATTTGTTGACATATTGTTATAAACAAGTTTGTATTAGGTATTTAAAATTAAATCTTTGAACTCTTATGAAATTAAAATATTTATAATCGATTTTTGTGATGGTTAGATTAGTAATAATAACATAATATGGACAACCTTGTGTTCAATTTTCCGGTCATATATACTCTTATAGTATAATATCAATTTTAAGAAAAAAACTTCATCATTTTCCTATTAGTACCTATGTCTATTATATACGCATGTAGATTCCGTATGATATTGGTTTTGCACTTTTAAATGCTAAGTCCTGGACCAACATTAGAATATTATATTGCATATTATATACCTATGCACGCAATAAGAAGTAACTAATAATAAAATATATATTGTGTTTTCTTAATATTTATTTTTAAGACAGATATAGGTGCCTATTTAGATCAGCTTGAATTCGTAATTATTATTTGAAATTTTAAATTATTTTTAAAAACTTATGGGATTCAAAATTGTGCAAGTATGAAAATCAATTCCTATATTCTATTAATCACATAATATGCGTACATCTCAGTTTTTATAAATGTAGGTACTGCACGTCTGCACATAATATGTTATAAATGTTTTATCATAAACAAGTAAAATTCAAATTTTGTAACCACCTGTCTGTATCAAAATATTACTAACGAGTGACATTGGGCTACAAGGTTTTACACTTAATAAGCTTCTATTGTGAGATCTAAAATCAAAATATTAACATTGAAGTTTATAAGATTTAATATGTGCTAAAATGAATTACGTGATCAACATTTTACTTGTAGATTAGTATATATATAATTTAATAATTGGGTTATTAAGAAAATAACTATATAATTTAACTTGCAAATGTGTAGATACCAATTTATGTGTGCTTTGTAGTCAATTATTACATAACTAAATTTATAAATATTATCACAATATTATTAGGTAATATAGAAAATATTTGACAATGACCTAGCTCCATTGTATTTATCTTATATAATATATTAAATAGATTTTATTTAAGATTTTAAATTAGTCTTTCTTCAAATGTGATAAATAGGTAGTAAGTGTTTTTTATTTATTTCTTATAATTAAAATATAATATTATAAACTTAATCTCTTTGGGGTGATGTCAGTTATATATGTACTTATATCTTTAAATTCAGCGGGTATTTTGGATACCTATATCAACATTTAAACCTTTTTATTTTTTATTTAATGGCTTGTTTTACGATTTAAAATGCATATTTAGGTGTTTTTTTAGACATTTTTGAAATAATCACTAGACAGTGTAGTATAAAAAAAAAAATATTATATTTTGATAGTTTGATTAACCAAATTAAATAAATGAATAGGTATACTCTTACTTGTAGGTAGCCAGGTAGGTATAAACCGTTTTCGCAAATATATTTGGGAATTAATTTTTTTCTTATATACCTAGATTAAAACTACTTAAAAAACAGATATTTTAAACAAAAGTATTTATAGAAGCATTAAATAATTTTAAATTTATTATTTTAATTAAATATTCAGAAAATAAATGTCTGGCTAATTTTTGAGTGCATATTTATTTATTTTCATGCGTATTTGAACATTTTAGTGCATACATTATTTATGTATAATTAAGATTTTTAGTGCATATTTGGTCTTTTTTAATGCATACAACTACAATCTAGTCATTGTCTACGTCTGGTTTTGAATATCATGTAAATAAACATACATCCATGTAAGTACAGTAGTTACCTATTTATAGATTCCCAGGAAATGTACAAGACGAATGCCTATTTATTTACTATTTGCATTATACCCATATAAATATTACCTATTCCTTAGGTATTGTATTTGTTTTGGTGTTAAATATATTATTGTTAAAGTATTAATACTTTATAGTGAATGTATAAATTTCTACGTGTAGGTATAAGTAGCTTTATAGACATTGTTAATTTATGTGTTGAATAATTCAATTTTCGTCTTAAGGTAATCATATTGGATAAGACACGTCAAAACTAAATATATATATACTGTTGTTCAACAATGTCGACGTTTTGTGCTGATGGTCTTATTCCAGCGAGATTTTTATGTCTCGTTGCTCACTTTATAATGCTTGTCATGGCTTTAAACCATAGGGTAAGACATAAATAAAAACGTTATGCCAAATAAAATTATAACACACCAATATACATCATATT